CATCCTGAATATAAGCATGATGACATGTGAATTGAACTATCATTTGTTGACTTTTGGTTAATGCACTGACTGATATCAAATTGAGATCAAAATCAGGTACATAGAGTACATTTTTCAATGTAAACAGATAGTCAATTTTGATATCTCCAACTAGATTGACAGGAATAGTAAGCTTGTTTGGAAGAGTAACTGTATGATTATAAACTTTTCTTGTGTTGGTGAAAAGATTTATATCATGAGCAACATGTTGTGAAGCACCAGAATCAAGAATCCACATGCATGATTTCAAATCATTAGTAATAGTCAATGAATAACATTTACCTGTGGATGTGTTTTCATTTGGATTCACTGAAATCATGTGATTTGTTAAAGCAGACATCACTTGTTGACATTGTGAAGGAGAAAAACCTCTAAACATGTTGCTCAAATCATCATTGATAGATGAATGTCCATCAACAGTAACATTATCATTTGTTACTGCATTGATTTGACTTGTCTTGGCCTTTAATTTGTATCCAGGAGGATAACCATGTAATGTATAACATTTTTCCACTGTATGCCCCTGAAACTTGCAATTTGTGCAATATGGACGATCGCTTTGATTGTTATTGAATTTCTTGTTCTGTTTCTGTTGTTTTGATTGGATTTAGCAACAAAAGCAACAGATGAAGAATGTTGATCCACTGAAATAGTCTTCTGTTTTTCTTCTTGAGCAACTAAAGAAAATACTCGATTAATGGAAGGCATAGGATCCATCAACAATATTTGACCTCTAGTGTGTGAGAAAGAATCATTCAATCCCATTAGGAAATTCATGATCGGCTCAGATTGAAAATATTTTTCAATATTTTCAACTCCATGACATTCACACTTGCCACATGAACATCTAGGGCGAAAATTCTCAAGTTCTTCTGAAAGCGACTTCAATTCGGTGAAATAAACACCAACTGAATCTTGATTTTGACTGAGATTTACAATTTCTCTCCGGATTTGAAAAATTCGAGGTCCATTGCTTTGTTGATAGCGATCTTGAAGGTCTTGCCAAATTTCCTTCGCTGAATTTGTAAACATGATACTGGTTGAAATTTCCTTTGATACAGAATTCAAGATCCATGAAATTACCAGTTTATTGTTACGCATCCATGCATTGTGATTAACAATTTCATTTGGAGAAGGCTCAGGAATAGTTCCATCTACAAATCCAGCTTTATTCTTAACTGAAAGTGCAATTAACATCGATCTACACCATGAAGGATAATTTTCACCAATCAATGGTTGGGAAACCAGAATGAATCCAGGATTATCTTAATGATGAATGTAATATGGTGACATTCGATCATCAATTGGAGAAATGTTTACAGATGACGAATTAGTCGTCATGATGAAGATTACGTAGAAATTTACAAGAACAATTTGTAAATCTCGAAGAATCAAAGAAAAATTGATCTCACAAGAACAATTTGTGGAATCAAATCAAAAACGCATAAATCTACAAGAACAATTTATAGATTTGAAAACAATAGAGAAAATCGATTTCACAAGAACAATTTGCAAAATCAAATTGAATGAAAATTGATTCGAAAACGAAGAACAGAGTTAGAATGATTCATATGAATCATAGAAGCGGAATTTTTCTTCTCTGATACCATAATACGAAATAAAACTTGATAATATTTTCATTAATCTTGATACAAGAACTTATATCAGCTCAATTGAGCATCTAACTGAATAACTGAAATAACAGCTAACTATATATTTACATATCAACCCTCTTATTATGCTTATTTACAATTATAACCTCTAATAACTTGTTTTAGTTAATATATATGATTTTGATTTCATTCTAATTTGAGCTATGTTTGTGATTATATTAGGATTTGTTGCTCACCTTGTGTTCAATCATTTTCCTGTGTTAGTTTGGACGTGGTGTAAATCTTTTAAATATGTCTATTTTGTGTATTTGACTGTCTATCTTTATTGGAAGATGTTTGTTATAATGGTTAGGTTGAAAAAAAAATTGTGCACCTGGTCATGAATACATTTCATGTCGACAAGGAAATCTACAAGTAAAATCTGTAATTATAATATAATATAATTTTTTCTTTATTTATTGTGTGAAATATGGGTCAAAGGCATGAAATGGTCTCGTCAACCAAGTTTTTTTAAGGATTTTATCATGACCTATATGAGATTATGTTGCCTAATGTCATGTAACTTCTTAATTATTTTCAGCAAAAATGAGGTCCTACTCCACAAAAGAAGAAACTGATATCAAGGTGCATAAATCTTCCCCAAAAGTCTGAAAAATCAACATGACAACAGGTACAAAGATGACCATAGGTTCTTTTTTGCAAATTCCATTTATTTGTATATGTTTTTTCTTCAAGGTGGTAAGAATTGGAGAACGAAATCTAACACACAACAATGATCTTCCTGAACCAAAACAAAAAATGAACATACACACTGGAAATTAAAGACGTATTTTTAGGTTGCTTGAAAACATCTTTGGAAAAAGAATTAGAATTTTTGATATTCGTCCTTCAATTTTCTCCTGCTTGGATATTTATTATTGTTTGGCATGATCTAACTAAAAATGTTATATGTAAATTGAAGCTTTTGTTGATTATTATAACGTAATTGAATAGGATGAAAAAGTTAAAACTTGTGAATTGAATTACCTGGAGTCCTGGATTTCATCTATCAAACTCATTTAATAGATAAAAAGGTAAATAATTTTAACCTTACAACAATTAGGTTGAAAGTAGAAATTTAAATTTTCAGCTACTATTATGATATAAAAAACTTGGGTAAGTAACTATAAAGCTATAAATTAAAATCTTAAGTGTTGTCAAAATTGAAAGTAGTGGGTTTGCATGTGTCTTGTGCCAATTTCTTGCAACTACCTGATTATCTATACATGTCTAACATTGGTAATCACTGGTGCAGGTATGAATTTCTATTTTCTTAAATTTGTTCATATGCATAATTTTTTGATAGAACTTTATAGTTTTTGCTGTAGAATGAGTTTCAGATTACAATATCTTCTCTGCCTGAACTATTATTAATCTTCTACTTCATAGTGGCTTAATTTTGACAACATGTTGTGATTGTTTATACATAAAATTTGGTGATTATTCTCCTTGACAAAAACAAAAATATCTTTGCTGCGACTGTTCAACTTCTACCTAGGTATGAATTTTGTTGAGGAATTTCTCAATCACATAGATACCATGAGGTCTGATGAGTGAAATATCGACTTTTAGTATGGTTATGTGTTAAATGCTATTATATTTTTTTCCATTGCTAAATTTATCGATTGTTGGAACCTGAAACATGCTTGGAGATCTATGATTTTAAGGAACCTACACAATCCCTTCCTTTATTTGATTGTTATTTTGCGTATAGGTTTCTTTTGTGCAAAAGCTTGCCCCTTGAGCATATTATTGATGTATAGGATGAGATGGAAAAAAGATCGAGTGGAATCGAGTTTAAAAGATAAGAGAAGGATCTTAGGGCACTTGAGCAAACACATGAAGCAATGATGAACAAAGAATGATCTTCGGACATCTAGAAAAGGGATAAACCAGTTTTGCCCAAGGTCAAGGGAATAAGACGATGCCGGAAAGTCAAGGTTTGTAATTTTAAAACCCCACCCGGTTATAGCATTGCATTTTCAAAAAAGAGGTAAAGAAAATGTCTGAGGATTTTGCCCATGATTTTTTGATTTGCATTGGGCAATGTAAAAGACTTTTCTTAAGAATCCTTTCGAATGGCTTGCAAATGCATTGGCAGAATGGATTACCATCTTTTAAAGCACCACGCTAAGGCTTATATTAAAGTTTAAGCTTTACTTATTCGTGAGGGTATTATTTAGCTTTTTTACAGATGAAGGCTTATAATCTCAGTTGGATAAGTAACATGCTCAAATTATGTACAAAGAAATTAAAGTAACATGCTATACTAAACAAAAAGGAAAAGTAAGTTGCTATTTTTTGTATTTATAGAGTATTTTAATAATTAATTAATAAATTCTTTGAATACCCTATAAGTAGCTATTTTGACCATGTTCGACATTAATGGTGAATACTATAATATTAATCACAGGTCCATACCAAAGGAAGTCGTTTGTGAGAAAGTGTTCTCTATATGAAATTACATATCTTTCAAAGTAGTAGAACCACCAAGCCAGTAAAAGAAATTCATCAAAGCTCATCATTAGATGCAATAGTATCATATCAGGCAAGAAGTTGACCAAATGAAGAGTGATATCAGATAAGTCAAGAAGTTGACCAAATGACCCTTCGTGACCAGGTTCTTGGGATTTGCCCTCATCTGCTTTTGCTAGTGGAAATCAATTGAGATACAACTAAAAGATGGTTCTTTTCTTCATGCAGGTAGGGAATTTCGTGGCAATATGAGGCATAACAAAAAAATTCCAATCAAATATTATATTTATCAATATAAATCATGTTTTTCCAATAATCACTTAAAGTTTACTTACCGATCAATTTTAGGGCCGTGATAATAAGTTTCACTACTAGAAAAAAGGTTTTCCTTGACAGACAATGTATGTCATAAATGCCTATATATGACAGACAAATGTTTGTCATTGAAAGCCATATCATAAAGGAAAATGACAGACATTAGGTCTGTCATAAAGTTTACAACAGACTTTTATGACCAACAATTACAACATACATACACGACATGCGTTTTCGCCATACATTTACGACCGACTTTGTTTGTCATAATTCGTAACATTTTTGTATTTATGACAGACATTTACAACTTCCAATTACGACATGTTTGACATATTTTTACAACATGCTTTGTATGTCATGGTTTTATAGTTTTTTTAAATTATATATATATATATATATTCAAATTCATCAAAAAGTAACTGTCAAATACATATCACTTGTAAGTTAAGTTTATCAAAAAGTAACTGTCAAAGTAACTGTCAAATACCAAATCTTAATCAAACTAAATTACAAATTTATTGTCTAAATTATACAAGCTATAGTTCCAAATTCATCAAAAAGTAACTGTCAAATACATATCACTTGTAAGTTAAGTTTATGACATAAGTATCCTATTTTTCACACACCCTATCAAGCTCGACATCTGTATATTCTTTCTTCCCCCAAAACTATATAAAAACAAATGAACTCAAAATTAAATTATTCATTAAATACCTTCCAAAAGCCTCCCCATCAAAACCTGTAATTAAAAAAACACTAGAATCTTTTAATAGAAACTTGAATTAATAGAAACAAATTTAGTATATGCATGTTATGGAACAGACCTTCCACCAACTATAAGATGTAAAGCCCTTAAAAGCCATGGTTTATGTTTGTAAAGCTCCCCTGCCCGGTATATTTGGAATCTGAAGGGCAAAAATGGAATTAGCATCAGTGGAGAAGAAGATAACCCTTGATTAAGAAAAGAGATTAAGATTAAATAAAGTTTTAACCGTTAGCAATATTAAAACTTTATTTTTGTAAATATATGAGAGAAAGAGAGAGGATGTAACTGAAAGTTTATTTCAGTATAGAAGTCAAATAACAAAAAATAAACAAATTGCCAAGTTTGAAGCTTACATAGACCAATATGAGACAGGTTCAGACCTTACCTTACAAACTGGTTAGGGATATCTAATCACAGATTAAGTATCGACTATTGTACTTGAACTGCCAAAAGAACAATTGAAATCTTGGTTGGTCTGAGTTGAAATCATCACCCAATATGCAATCTTGCCAATAATAAAAGAAAAAACCCAATAGACTAATTCACAATTTTAGAAGGCTTAAAGGCAGTTCTAGAAGCACCTTCAGCTATCAGACATGAAATTCTGCTAATAATGTGTAGGTCCATGTTTATATTAAAGAAGAAACAACTTAACAAAGGCTTACTTTAGAGGAATATGAAGGATTAAAATTAAATAAATACTTACATCTTCATTTGGATTTGGGAATTCAATCTTTCTATCAATTCTTCCAGGCCTAAGAAGGGCCTATATCAATACGGTTAGTAGCATCAAAACCTGTAAACATCAAAATAGAGATCCATTCAGAAGGGCAATATCGTCTTTTTATTAAATATTAAAGTGAAAAAAATTACCTTGATCTTATTTGATGCTTCAAATCCATCCAACTGATTGAGAAGCTCAAACATTTTCTTTGGACTTCGCTATCACCATTTCCACTTCCAGATTCCATTCGAGCATACACAAGTTTTCTTATATCCAGGATGAAGATGCTAACCGGTCTACATGCTTTAAATCTGCAAGTCTTTCTAAATCTGCATGATGAAGATTCCATTCTGTAATTGTCAGGTTTTTTTTATTTTCCGCAAATTATTAATTAAATTTGCTTCCTAATGGAAAATAAACAATCACTGATATTATTTCCATTTAAAATCTAGTACCCTGCTGGCACACAAGATGTTCCTTTGACAATTTTTCAACCACTGCAACTACTGGTGCTCAAGTTGGGTATAAAAGGAGTGCTTACATGGGAAGCTGTAGACATGATTTATGGCAAGCTATAAGAGCATCATCTGCTGCTCCATATTATATTGATGATTACTCTGATGGTATAAACCCTAAACCCTGAACTTATAATTGTAATATCTGGTTGAGTAACTTAAAAAATACAAAAAAAAAGCTGACATTTTTCATTTATGTATATCATCTATCTTGTCCAGGTGTATTTAGGTAGCAAGATGGTCCTATTGTGGCAAATAACCCTACAATATTTGCAATACGTGAAGCACAACTTCTATGGCCAGATGCAAAAATCGACACTCTTTTTCAATCAGTTGTTGTTCTATGCCAACAAAGGTAATAAATTCATTATTGCTATCTGTTTGGGTTTTTCAATCTGTCAAATAACCGGAATGTGAATAAATTTAAATGACCAAAATACCCTTAATATTGATTGTAGGCTCGTAAAGGTGGATGGAGGTATTTGGACACTAGGCAAGTGTTGATTGAGAGTGCATGCTCAGTCGAGCGAGTTGAGGAAGCTTTGAGCACATTGTTGCCAATGATTCCTGAAATAAACTATTTTCAACTCCCAATTCATTTCCAACTCCATAGTTATTCATTCACCTCCATCTTCAACAATAGAAACTCATAAACAATATAAACAATTGATAATTAAGATTCAAGAATATGTGGAATATTCTTACTATGAAAAGATAAATGCAAATGGTAATACTATCAATTTCAGATGCTGCCTACAAGACAATCCAAAAACACATGATAAGCATATATTACCATAATGATGGTAAATAGAGGGGTTTAAAATTTAAAACTGACCTCATCAACATAGGGCCAGATCTTTGTAAGATGAGCATTAAGCCAGGTCAACTGAAAGATTAAGCAGAATAATCAGTCCCTGAAGAAGATAGAAAGAAAGTGGAGAGAAAGTACAAAAGCTGGAAGAATGTAGGGTAGAAAAGTATCACTCAACTTCTGTCTCTGTGAGAAAACAACCCAATAGGGTAGAATTCTTGTAAAAGCAACTTTTTTGAATCTTCAACTGTCATTCTCGCAAAAGCCGCAATCGCTTTGCCTTCAACACATAATTTAACCCAAATTTCAATAAATTCACGAATATTCAGAGCATACACTCAATTCAAAGCATGTTTTAGGTCACACATTAAGGAAGATGCATATTGTGTGTGTTGTTAACTCAAACAAGTCACACAAACTATTACACATAATGGAGACTGGAGTGTTTGTGTTGTGTGTAATCCAAATGGATTTTGAACTGACTCATAGACAGATGCAGATAAAAGTGTGTTATGACGTGAAAGCTACGATAAAGCTAGATACATAACTTTTGGTTTCTTCCTCTTCGGGGGTGGTACGACGACCGGAGCAGCGGATAGCGGATGGGAGGGCCGTACGAGCGGCGGCGGCGGCTAGCTGCTGCAGGACAGAAAGAAGGCGAGTGGCAGTCGGAGCAGCACCGGAAACTGCCGTGTTGAGGTTGCAGATGGCGACAGAAAGAAGAAGAAGAAGAAGAAGATGGAGGAATGGTGGCAGAGGACGCACTCACGGTGGCCACTCGTTCTCGCCGGAAGGGAAGGTAGCCGCGATGTTCGGCGGTTCGGTGCAGCAAGGAACGGAGGTGGCGGCAGCGGTTGTTCACAGCAGCAGGCCGGCGGCGGCTGGGATGCCCGGGATTAAGGTGGCGGCTGAAAGAGAGTTGTAGAGTTAGGGTTTTCGGGTGTTGCACTCTAAAAACGGGAGGGGTAAGGAATCACGGGTTCAAGTCCGTGTTTTACCAAACTTGGATGTATTTTAACGAGATTGGTCCCTGCCTCTACAATTCCTTTACAATTTAAATCCAATAATTACTAATCACCTTTGCTTCACAAAATCTTTTACATTTCAAGTACTAATATTACAATATAGACCCCAAAATTTTGAAATTATACCATTTAACTTCTTATGGCTATTACGGATTTAGGGCTAAAATAAAATAAAATATAAAATGTATATCGGGGTTTTAGTGTTTATTATTTATTTATAAATCTATTTTATTTTATTCATTTTATTTCATTTATTATATTTTATTTATTTTATTTTAAAACAAAATGTTACACAATCAGGTGCTGGAAACTTAACATCAACTGTCGTTCGGCGTCCGAAAGTATCATTCGAAAGTATCATATCTGGGGCAATAGATATGTGGTTATGAAACTCGATCAAATAAGGATCGATTAGGATATCGGATTGTTGGATAGAGTAAATGGAGGATTCATCCGTATAATTAGGGTATGTGGTTTAAGGTAAACTCATTTAGTGGAATTTGGATATGTGGTTTAGGCGACCCATTTACGATTTTTTTTATTGCCACATATGTTTTTATATTGCCAATGTTAAAAAGGTAGGGAGTGGTTGTGAGAGATATTTAATAGGTTTTGTTTTGAAAAATAAATAAATATATAAAAACAAGTCTAACCAAACATAGTCAATCTTTTCCTTCTCTCTCTTCTCGCTACCAAAGTTGTGATTCGTCACTGGCGAGTCCCTTAGCGACTCATACGAGATGGTGTAAATATTGGTAGAGGGTGTTTGGCTAGAGGGGCGGCGACTGTAGCATAATTTGTTGAATGATTCTTGGATCGAGGGTGTTTGACTATATATATATATATATATATATTATATATATATATATATATATATATATATATATTTCGTATCATAACATGAGTGTCAATGTGTGAGAGTGCTTTTTGAATAAGTTGTTGAATGATTATTGAATGTCAATGTCATAATATACTTGTATTTAGTCATATATTAGGCTATTGTATTATAATTTAAATAACGTCTCAATGTGTCTTATCTATTTGTTATCTTTAAGAAATTATAGATGGAAGCAAACTGAGTACAAAGAACAAAAATTGAAAATTTAAGGGATAAACCAGGTCTGGTCATTGATGTTGATGATGAAAACAATCAACCGGAGAATGATGTGGATGACGTAAACAATGAGACCGAAAATAAGGGTGGTCGCCCGAAGAGATCTTTCGTGTGGGACCATTTTACTCGCGTGAAGGGTGGTAAAAGTAAGGTCAAATGACTTATTGCATTTTTAAATGTTTTTTTTTCTAATATTTTAAATAAGATGTTGGTTTTAAGATGATCATCTCTTTTTTGATTTTTTTTACATAGCAACAATTTTCTGATTTTCTTCACTTTTTAGTTTTTATAGCAATGTGGTTTGTTTTTTTTTTTTTTCTCTTTTTATATGAATCCACTTTTAGTTTTGATATCATTATTTTATTGTAATGGTTAACCGATATTAACCATTAACCATAACCATTACTATCCATAACGAATGGCTACTAAAAAGCATTAACCAATTGTAATGGTTATGGTTCGGTTTTGACTTATAACCGAACCAAACCTCCACATACACGCCTCTACTAATAGTGTTCAAAATGTTGATTTGCCATATAAGCTCGTTCTCTGGTGACTTTTGCAATTTGTTAGTAGGTATGCTCTCATACACTAGTCTGAAACCAAAAATGCACTTAATGCTCTTGTAAATGAAGATGAAAATACAAAACGCACATGAAGAAGAAAGCCTAGTGTTCTCCGCCCCCGTTGTCATATCTATCAAACATATGATATCTGCACCATCCCGAGGTTGTTTTTGTCGTCCTTGAAGTCGAGCCCTTTTTCCTTTTTTGCAAAACGTTTGAGCTGAAATATAAAACTTTGATTAGTTAACAGTTTTGAACATATGTACTACAACAATAGATGCTTACCCGAGCATACGTCGAACTCTTCCCGTACAAATCGCTCCCAGTCCCGGTCGTGATTATGAATGTCTTCACAGCTGCAAAATGATACAATTGAAATATTAAATATCAACAGTTTTCTATTCAACAGTTATGTTAAATCTGTAAGTTACAAAAAAAAATTGAAATTTGCAAAATTGATTTTTTTTTTTATATGAAATAAAAAAGGAACGATTAACTGAAAATTACTACTTCCTCCGTCCCATATTATTGTCCACTTTTGACTAGAAATGTTATTCGGGTCAGAACTGGATCGAACCGACCCGAACGTGAATAACCCGAAAACTGAATAAGGGTAATTGCATGAACCGAAAACCGGACCAAATAAGCAATACGGAGTCGGTTCGGTTCGGGTATGAATCGGTTCGGTTCAGTTTCAACCCGAATAACATGTACACATTAATATCCTTAAACTTACCAATCATTAAACACTTCCCCACTCAACAACATTAAATGTCCTTTTTGACCCTCAAAAGCTAATCCAAACATAATTTAAAAAAATCTTTTTACCAAAAGTCCTTTTGCAAAAAGAAGTTTTGAAGCTAAAAAGTAATCCCAAACACCCTCTTGATCTACTAATAAAGGGAAGCAGTACAACATATCACTTTAAATAAAAAGGGTGTAGAACTTACTTCCGAAGAGACTAAACTCGGCGTAAAACTACTTGAATATATTCATTGCCTTCGTTGTCTTCAAAGCATGAAGATTCATGTAAAATAACTTGTTTCTCTCATTTCTACATTCAATAAAAATATATAGATATTAATACAAAAACTATTATAACATATTCATAAAAATTTAAGTGTTTATTGCTTACGTGCTCTGATAGACTTGTAATGTATTGATTCCACAGAGTTCATCAAACACCTGTTTCTTCTGCAAAAAAAAAAATAATATGAAATAAATAAATAAATATATATATAATTAAAGATTCACCACGTTGTACAAAAAAATTACATTGAAAATAATCAATACCTTCATAAGTAATTTCTCTATTTTCATGTCGTCCCTTTTTCTACTTCCAGTTCCATCTATGGGCTTTCTATTTTCATTTTTAGACTAATCACAAAAAAAAAAAAAAAAAAAAAAAAAAAAAAAAAAATGTTTGAGACATGAGAGATAATTAATCAAAGCAATGCTTTTTTCTTACTTTTTTGTTATGTGTCCCTAACAGGCGGATCTTCCTCTTGACAAAATTTGGAAGGGCTACCCTTCCCTCACTTGTTTGTTTGATTTTCTTTAATGCAGCTTCCATCATGTTCCATTTTTCCTGAAAAGACTTCTCTATTCCTTCTATTGAGATGATATCCTCCTGTTCCTTTGGCTGACTTTCCTCATTTCTGCCTCTCTTTTTTCCCATGATTTCTGATGAAAGACAAGTTGTTCAAAGAAATAAGGTTTTATGCAGTGCAGGTACCCCCAGATTTGATGTTAAATAATGATAATTGTAAGATTAGTTCTGGCTGAAAGTTGTACTTGTACATACTACAAAAGATATAGCTCAAATAAACAGTTGTTACAACCAAGATAGGGTTAAGAAAGAAACACAGTTAATCCAAAACAAACCTTCAGCACAACCTAATTAGACTAATCAGTACATCAAGTCCCTAAAGTGAACTATTTATTGAAATTCACAGATTAAAAAAGAACTAATTCAATAAAGTGTGACCAGCAGGTGTGAAAGTACACCTCATCTCCTCATAAAACTGTTAAGTCAATTAAGGAAGAAAATGAACTTAATATGTTTGACCAATTCACACATTAAACATCCATCATGAATAGATGCAAAAATATGCATCATGTTGGTGTGCCTTCTTATGATGAATATGCACCAGCAATTACTTTTGACCACTAAAGGTGAACTTGAAGGACTTGCATAATTCATGTAATCGAGTGATCATAAAGATTAAAGAACATCAAGGCTCCTATAACAAATTTGGTGTTGACAATTGAGAATCTATTATTTCAGTTGAGCCACATGAAGTACCCCCAAAGAAAAAAGCAGCTCTAGGTGTTGCTATTTGTCATGAGATGAAAACTGCATCAAGTCAATTGTCATATTGCACCCTTATCATCATCTAATAAAATTCCTTGGTTTGATTAAACAACTACAGTAATATAAAGATGAGATGATGGCATACCAGACATGAAAAGATATCAGCATTCAGCACACAGAGATGTTAGGATGTGAATGTCCTGATTATCTTTTTTTCTTATTAAGCGTGGTCTAGAGTAATTGGTAAATGAAAATCAGTGTTTGTATTGTATGCTGAATGACCATTATATCATCCATCAGGAATTAGAGCTGAATGAAAAATAAATTACCATTAATTCACTATCAGATATTAGTCAGCCTAGGGGTAGCTTTGGCTCCAGCTCCAGAAATCATAAACAATGATATGTCGAACTTATAATTCCAAATGTCAAAAAAGCACCAACTTATCATCTATTTTACTAAAAAGAGATTTAAAATATCATAATGATATAAATTCAATGATATTTAATCAGACTAAAGTGAAGTGGAAGTTATTCAAATTTCCAACCATATAACCAATAAAATGCAGATAAACAGATCCACAACTAGACAATTATCATGTAACTAATAAATATCGAGACCTAAAAAACTGAGATCTAAAAAAAAAAAGGTGGTTATCGTGTTCAAATAAAAGTTACATTTTAGACATCTATAACTTCGTCAACACATTGGGTAGCCTTAGCAGAGCTTATATGAATCTAATGTTTAAAAAGGGAAAGAGTGAAAAAGTCGGGACTTAATTCAGAATGCATCACCATCCATGGCCTTCCTGGCTAAGTCTACGACTTATTGCACCAAGTCATCTCCCACAAAGTCTATTAAGTCAATATCAAAAAGCCATGAACGGAGTTGTAGCGATGCTCTCTATCTCACACAAGATCACTCAAGGCAACTTTTTAAGGGCACATGCTACTGATGAAAGACAAGGTGTCTAGCCTCAAGAATCAATATGGTATACCTTAGTTGAATAGATGGTTCCTAGTCTCCAATGGCAACTCATAGGCTTTCTAATTGAAGTTAAGACAGTTTTTATGGACATTGAAGTTAAAATAATATCGAGGGAGATGGATATGTGCAGGATAAAGTCAAGGAAGAGTTAGCAGATCTGCAGACATGGTCCCAATTATTATAGTTGGTAACTTGGTATAAGTGTTCTATAGATTTTAGTGTAAAATCATAGATAATACAAGTTTCAACGCCCCTCCCCAGATTAATTTTTTTACCAATTTTCTTAATTCTCCACCCCTTCACGGATTTTTTAGATGTACTCCTAGACATGTGTGCATCAAGACAAGGACATATGTATCTGTGTCTATAGCCGTAAACGTATAATAGTTGACCAATATAAACAACAATTGCCAATACATCCTATGGAAGATCTAGTCCCCACAAAGTCGCATCTTTTCTTGGACTTCAAATATACCAGAATGGAAATTACATACAGGTTAAGATCCTAAATTTGTAATCCCTTGTGATTCCTTCAAAAGTCAAAGAAAGTATGAGTAATGGCTGAAATTGGGTTGATTATTTTCGTTGAGAATGTAAAACTAATTACTGCCTAGTATGTACTACAGCTTTAATACTGTTTATATGATCATGGTTATTGGATATGCTAAATACTATCAAATTAGTATTACCATGTTTAGTGCAAACATCTCAATGACACACTAAGAGTGAAGTCAAAAGATCCCAATTTGAAAAAGCCACCATAGTGAAAACATAGTTTATATAATAAGCAAACAAAAAAACATTTCAAGTTTCAATGAGCTCAAACATCAATATTAGCTAGTACAGCAACCCACTCAAATTAGTCTGTGTCCTAAAAATAGCATCTTCTGCCTAAAAAAAGAAATCAGAGAACAAATCTTACTGCAGCTAAGACCGGCGAATGGTAGCAAAAAGCATATCATAAAACAATGAATCCCAAAATCTATGACAAAATGGAAAAAACACAAAAGAGTTCAATAATGAGCTGACGATCTGCTCAACTCTCTAATAAATGGACTATGTAGACCAAACCTAAAAAAAGCATTTATGGTGTGTACTTATTTTGTGGTCTATTCTTGTGACAATCAAGCATCATCAACATGTCATTTCACATTATTTGTGAGTTGTGACACATGTTGTGTGAAAACAGTCTGAGCTACTAAAAATGTATTAGATGATCTTACCCACCCCCTATAGTACCTAAATGATGACTTTGTGGCAATGATAGATATTTGTAAGAGAAACCATAACTATGAGCATCATCATTACATCAACACTACATCTAAAACAGCAAAAGGTACTCACATTTGTTGGGTTCCGAAGAAGACTAAAACTTTCTTCCGATCAGTAGAGTACCCCCACTTCTCCGGCTCACTAACCTGCAACCACCATATAGATTTATATAGTAAGCACATGCTCCATACTGCCTATGTTTTCCTTCCATAAAAGCATACAGTGAGCAAATTACAAGAAACCAGAATATAAATTTACAGATATTCTACAAAGCACTGCTATAGCACCACTTATATTCGGTTACAAAATAACTGATCATGATTGTTGATGGACCAAGCATGCAAAAGTGATTTTGCTTTGTTGCAAACTAATGTTATTAGGTTCTCAGATAAAACCAAAACACGTGGTTTGAATGACAGAAGTACAAAAGAAAACTAATTACAAACGGACAACCATCACCCAAACAAAATAAAGAATGGTCAACATAGCAAATATATGAAAGCATATCAATAAAGGCTCAAACTTGGTGTGAATCTTTCAACAACTCAGATCAGTCTAACAAACCTTAAGTTAATATGCGAACAATAGACCTCAACTCTACAAGAATCCTAAAATAAAATAAATCACATTCAAAGAACCATATAAGCATCAAAAATGTCTTCCAAATGCAAGCTTCCTACAACTATGGTGTTAAATGAAGTTGCACATTTCATTGAATCTTGGAAGCAAGTTACTTCTAGATGGATGTTTTTTCAATCAAAATTGGATCCCCCTTTTTCCTTTCAACCAAATTTTGTTTCTGAAAAAGCGTATATGAAACCATTAACTCATATAACCACCAATTCACTTTATTTATCCGTTGTTCTTATTTCATCAATCCATTGAGGTGTTGTTCTTATTTCAACCAAATTTTGTTTCTGAAAAAGCGTATATGAAACCATTAACTCATATAACCACCATTTCACTTTATTTATCCGTTGTTCTTATTCCATCAATCCATTGAGGTGTTGTGACAATAAATGAAACCAAAAAAACGTAGATAACCGACATTAAACTGACGCAAGAAACTAAAAGATCATCACGAAAACCTTAATCAAGTATAGGGCATTGGGAATTGAATCGGATTTGTATAAGGTTTCAATTCGGCCTCGATTTCTATAGAACATTCCAAGGAATTAAATCAAAACTCTACACAGAGTATACGCCGATACAGCAAAACCCCAAAATGATCACATACCCAGTAATATTCGAACAAAAATCAGCATCGCAATCACAGAATCATGAAAACTAGACGCTAAAAGTATTAAAAAGATAAAGACTGAAATAAATTTTACCTTGAAAATACGAATCGAATCGAATAATGATCACGAACAATCCTTCCGAAAATCCTTCCAAAGTTCGTTTGAATTTTGAGCGCCGAGACGTCGTCAGCTAACCCCAATTTATTTTAGTAATTTACATCATTCGTCCTTTATGTATACGCCAAACGTAAATTTACTCCCTATTCCTAAAAATCATTTAAAATTAAACCATTAATGCATATGCCCATGCCTTTTTTAGTTAAAACCATATTTATTTTTTATGACAACCATTTTACAAAGTAGCTTCTAGTTCAACCATATCAAATGGTATCCTATATTTTTTAGGTTGAAAGTTCAAGTCTGTTTTAAAATATAAGTGAATTTAGAGGTAATTTAAAAGTAGATTATATCTTATGTTAAAAAAAAAACTTTTTGCAAATTTGTCTAAAATCTATATTTTTCAAACAGCAAATTTCTCATTTACGAATGACCAAACTTACAGTTACTTTTATTTTTGATTTTGTTATTAATGTTTATTTTGTTAGTTCTGAGACTCATATAATACACGAGTTTATTCAGAAAAAAATAGTAAATACAAATGTCTAAATATTTAGAAAGTTTGAAATTATAATGGAAGTAAAAAAAATGAATTATTTAAATTGAAGTGCTCGTTTATTTTTTAAATTTAAACAAATAATTTAAAAAAATAAACAAACAATTTAAATAAATAAACAAATGAAATAATTATGCTTCAATCGAGCAATTTTGAAATTAAAAAAAATTACATTAATTAAATTGATATTC